ACCTTTCTGCTCCTGAAGCCATTTTGTGGCAGCCACTGACACCTTCCTCACTGGATATATTTTGCCATAAAACCCTCGGGATGAAACCTAAACTTTGATAAATTCTGAATCCTCTCTGGTTTCTCAGCCTACCCATTCCTCTTGGAAAGCACACCTCGTTCATCCTTCCACCGCCATCCCCGGCCCCCTCCCCACCACCATCTTGAGCCCTTTGCAGGCTTGCTGCCTTCCTGCTCTTGGTTCTTTCCTCTCGCCAGGCTCAGCTTTAGTCTTCTTCTCTGACAAGCCCATGATTTTTTCTTTCGCCCCAGTCCCCTAAGGCTGTTTCCTGATGGCCTGTCTGGCCCCAGCCTGGCTGTTCCTGTTTCAGCCTGGTTCCCAATATCTAAGCCAAAGTAATTTTCCTCTTGCCACCTGAGCACCCTACTCCTCAGGTTCCCATCACCTCCCAGATCACATCTACAGTCCCTGGTCTCACCTCTGCGACTTGTCTGACAAGTCCATCGTCCTCCAGGCCCTTCACGCTGCCAAAGAAACATTTTGCCCAGCACAGAAATCATAGGCATGCTGGCTGTACTGATGCAGAGAACCAAAAGCCCAGAACTGCTCCAGGCTCAGCTCCCAGTTCTATTCCTATTTTGGTTCCGGATGTGGAGCCGTTCTCCTCCCCACTTGGAACCTGTTCCTAGTCACATAAGGAAAGTGTTCCTGTCTCATGGCTTTGAGGAGGTGGGAGTGCCAGGGGCCCAGCCAAGCTCTGTGGAGCTCAGCTAGCTGAGGCCCTTCCCCTGGGCAGTGCCAACAGGCAATGTATATCACAACTGACCTTTAGCTGGAGCAGCCGTCTCTGTCCCTGGACCTCATCCAGCTGGTGGTTCCCAGAAATGCTACCAACCAGAAGACAGACACAAGGTTACAGGCCATCCCTGGCCCCAGCTGGTACCTAATCCTGAGGTCAGCCAAACTCTCCCCTGACTACAGGAGGAGAATGACTTCCTGAGCTCCAAGCCGTTACAGGGCCAGAGAGATGAGAGCAGCCTTATGCTTCTCAGCTTCAAACGCTGAGGCTAATGTGGTACTACAAATCCCAGAATTCCTCATGGGAACCCAAGGAAAGTACAAATCTGAGTCTTAGTTCCACAGCACCTCAAGTACCAACCACACGAAGGCCTGTGTGACTGACCCACCTACGCTGAAACCCAGGACCCATCAGAAACCTAGCCCTCAACATCTTAAGTTCCTACCTGGCCTTAGGCTTGGCGAAATCCATGACACTGAAGTAGAGTGGCCAACCTCAGATGCACAGGACTAAGACCAGGCCCCAGCATGCACCATCCAGGGGGAGCAAGGCAAGGGTCAGCAGTTGTGGGAAGGAAGACCTGATGGCCTCCCTTTAGGCTCCTGTTTCCCTCCTCAGGGTAGGTGATTTGTTGTTATTGTTATTGGTGCGAGTGGGGTAAGGGGACTAAAAGAGTTGTAAGAGGTGAGAGGTGATCAGGTGCACACAGGTGCCCCAAGTTGGGTCTCAGTCCATTCATCAACATCTGACTCTGAAGTGGGGAGTAAGGTTTAATTAAAAATTCCCTGGTAGGGTACTTGGCCAGCGTTTGCAGGCTTGAGGAGGTTGGGACACAGACAGGAGAGGCAGGTTCCCAGGATAGGGCCATTCCCAGGACAGCTAGAAGAGATGTAGGAATTAGGTGGTGATGGTGATGAGTATATGTGGGTGGACAAGGACAGTCGCCATGGGCTGGTGAGGATTGACTAACCCCTCCCCAGGCCATGCGCCTCCTGCCATCCTCAGCGGTGGGAATCCAGGCGGAAAGACACGAGTCCACCCTGCAGAGCCCAGAAGCAGGCAGGCCCTGGGACCGAACCCAAGTTGATTCAGCCCTCTCCCCGCTCAGGCCTGCTCCACTCCCTCTAGCCTGGCCCGCCTCCCTGGCGCAGGCTCCTCCCTCTCCCGACGCCGGCCCTTCCTCAAGGCCCCGACCCACCGCGCACGCGACCGGTCTCCCCGACCAGTGCCCGACCTCTTACCCTGACCCGCCGGGCTCCGAGAGCCGATACAGCCCATGGCCGGGAACCCAGGCACGCTAGCCCGCGCTCGGGACCCGGGCCATCGGCTTGCAGAGGGTCGGGCCGCGGCCGCCACCAGGGAGGGGAAAACCCCGTCAGGGGAGGGGGGTGGGAACCGCGCATCCGCCACCGCTCCCGGGAGAGGGAACCGGCCCGGTGACGTCAACGCGGGGGGCGTGACCGTTCACGTCACCACCTAAAGTGAGCGGGTGGGCGGGGCCGTGCCGGCGTCAGGGCCACGCAGGGCCGGCGTCTGGAGAAGCTTGTCCTCTGCTCCCAGGCCCAACCACGGAGTGACCCCTTAAGGCGGGTGGAGCGGGGTAGGGTAGGGGAGTCGACCTGTGTCTTGGCGGGATTGACGGGGGCCAGGCTGCCAGTAGCACTGTATGGGGCCATAGGACCTCACTGCATCCAACCCCCTCGTTTTATAGATGAGCCCTTGAAACCAGAAAGGACTCGCCGGTTACAACCAGCCTGAAACTCAGGACCACCTCCACGCAAGAAGGGTTTGGATCACATTCCGCTAGGAAAGTGAAACCAGCCAAGTGTATTCTACTAAATACCCCACAGCTATTGTCTCCCTCTCCCCTCCTAACCAACAGGGCACCCAACCACATCCACTTCAAGGGCCACCCTCCAAGAAAGTGACTCCCAGCTTCCACAATCATGGACAGGGGAAGAGGTAAGAGGGGTGCCAAGTTCTAGGAAGCTGCTGTAGTGCCAGCTCTGGAAAGGAGGCTGCCCGCCGATCCATACCCCTTCTCCGAGGGAGAAGGCCATAAAGCAGAGGCAGTGAGCTTAATTGAATTCATGTTTAATAATTACAGGCACCGTGCCCCCCCTTCCCCCTGCCCAGGCAGCAGCAGGGGTGGTGCAGGGGCTGGGGCATGCTCCCAGCAGCGAGGACGGCAGTCCCAGAGTGATTTCAGAAAATAAAAAA